CCCACTTCCACACGTAGAAAGGCGGAGCGTCTCCTGAGTGAGGCGCCCCTTCTCCCTGCTCACGTCACTCTTCATTGCGAACAAGAGGACAAAATTCTCTCTTCTATCACAGTTTGTTTATTCAATCAAGCATTCATTCAGCTGATATTTAGAGAATGTGTAGAATGTCAACCAAGGAGAAATCACTACAATTTAAACAGCAGATATTTATTTGGGCAATTAGAATTGCAACTTGGGAGACGGAGATTCAGGTAGAAACCCAAGACATGTCCTGATTAAAGGAGAAAGGCTTAGTCGTAATGGGGAAAAGGGAGGAGGACGAGGTGAGCTGTATTAAAGAAGAGTTCATTGGTGCTAGACGAGGTAAGGCTAGGTCTGTGCTTCATAAACTGCCCTGAGGTTTGATCATCGGGCAAAAGGCTAGACTTGTACTTCATTGGTTGGTTAGGGATTTGGTCATCAGCACAGGCCAGTTTCATCACTCCTTACAGACAGGATATTCTTGTCCTTAGTGACTTCTTGGAGTGTCACTGGTTGGTCCACTTTGGAAGAGAAATAAAATAAGACATGCAAGGCGAGTCCTCTGAAATGGCTGCTCTGGCTCTATTTTAATGTGGCTCCACTCAGGTCACCTTTCACAAGAATGTGCCAGATTGAGGCTGAGAACATAACGATGATCAAAATAGACACAGCCCTCCCCTCCTGGAGCTCACAGAGCTTAGAAACAAGTGAGAAAGCAAGACAGTAATCATTACAGAAGTAAATGTATAAATGTATTTTTTTAATGTAAGATACCAGGAAGCAACAGGCTGCTGGAAGAGTGTCGAGCAGGGTTATCTGACGCAGTGTATTGTGGGGTCTTAGAAGACTGCTGGTATTTGCCTCCGACTGTTTTACAAGCGAGCTCCTGTAGGCAGGACCCCATCAGGTTTCTCTGTGCCTCGCCTGCAGCCCTGGCTGGTGCCACATAGTAGCAGCTCAGTGAATGTCCGCTGCAGTAAAGAAATTACCAGACCAGTGCAGTTCAAGGCCTTACTCCCACCAGAGTCAACAAAAAGCTCGGTTTACAGGCTTCCAAAGTCACAACCTGTGATGTTTGCTTTTCCTCATTCTCAAGGAAGGAGTTCTAGAGTTCCAAACATTTAAGAGAAGGCTCGAGGGAGAAAGTATGCGTAGCTCCTGATCCAGCTTGGGATGCTTTATCTCAAAGCCCGGAGAGTTTTTGCAGCCTTCACCCTGTCAGCAGGAAACTGGATCTGAAGACGCGGGAGATTACAGGAGCTTTCAGGACAAAGGAACATAAATCAAAAAGAATGAAAAGAAAACAAGATCCTTGATCCTCCTCCTGTTAACGTTCTTTTGCAACTGTTTTGCAAGAGAGCAAGTGAGGGAGGGTAAATGCAGTTCATAAAAGGGAATGAAGCCAGAAGTTAAACGGCTGAAGGCAGTGTGGAGCCCGGGTCTGCCCCCGCCCTTCTCTCTTTACTTTTTTCTGTCTTACCATTAACAACCCAAAACAATGAACTAACAATTGGAAAAAGATGTCGAAGAGATAAGCCGTTTCCTTCCGCTCTTCCCGGTCTTGTTTCAATTCCTGTGTAGTTCAGCATCTCTGAGCTATAGATCTTCTGTAAAGAGCAATGGTTTGAGCTCCACTTAATAAATCAAGATCAGAGTGCAGAGTGGTGATGAGCAGGTGGCATGGAGACACTCTATTCTGAAAGAATAAAAGTAAACCCGATTTAGATTTAAGTATTAACTCTTCAACAAAGCTGTGCAAGAGCTATGGAAGTCCCATGTCCTCCACAAACCAGGAGTGCGGGGAGCCCCTTCCTAGAGTCGCAGGGAAAAACCATCCCATCCCAGAGTCTCCTCGGGCTTCTGGTCTCCTCTAAGATAATGCGTTCCAAGAACCTCGGACAGGAACGATAATTCCAGCCCCCAAAACTTCCATGGTATTCTACTCTCCTACACAGCATATTACTTTCTCAAGAATTAGAGTTGCCATGTAAAATTCAGGATGTCTAGTTAGATGTGAGTTTCAGATAAACAACAAATAATTTTTCATTATAAGTAAGGCCAAAATATTACATATTTGGGTGTCCTATACTTTTATTTGCTAAATCTGGCAAACTTTCCAATTATCAAACTCAGTAGACCCTTAATATCCAGGGTTGCCAGATGAAATACAGGGGGACCCGGTTAAATTTCAGAGAAATTTCAAATTTTTCTAATATAAATATGTCCCATGCTACAATATTTGGGACATACATATAATGAAAAAGTTACTTGTTTTCTCTCTGAAATTCAAATTTAGCTGGGCATACGGTATTATTTGCTACCTCAGCCAACCCTACTCACAAGTCTTGTTCCCCCAAACAATTTCATGAAAGTAAAGCTAAGATGAGATGAAAATGAGGGCACCCTGGGCTGGGAGGGCAAGTCCAGAAAGAGCCAACAGTTGAAGCGAATGTGGAGAAGTGGCCAGGGTGAGCCCCACCTCTCTCCTTTCATATCTAAATTTTCAAAATCACGGGCTTGGAGATTTTCCTATTATTCGTGTGTTCTTTAAAATCCCTATATCTGAATTATTTCACCTTTACTATTCTTAACGCTGCTTATTTGTTTGCTCACTCGCGTGCACATACACATATTAATCTTATCAGAGATAGTCCTTTTAAAGAACTAAGTTTTAGTTTTAAAGAGTTTGCCTATTTCATTTGTTTATGCTTTTATCTTTAAAAGCATATATTTCCTTCTATTTTCTTTGGATTTACTTTGGGTTATTTTTTGTTTGGTTGGTTTTTCTCTTTTTTTTACTTTCTTGAGTTGAGACATTTTATGCGTGTGTTTTGTCATCACCATTAAGATTTCTTCTCTTTGCAATCACTGTATTTAGAAGTATTTTACTTTAATAAATATACTTTTATAAATATAAGAACTTCTCCTTTGGCTGTTTGCTGGTTTTTCAATCTGAGGTTGCTCTCTCATGGTGCTATTTTTATGCTCTTGCTTCGTAAGTTTAGGGCATGAGCCCGTTTTCAGCAGAGTTTTCCCACACGTGTCCTCGTGCCCAGCTTGTGGAGGTCCCTCTGCAGGTTTTTTTTTTTTTTTCCAGATTTTTTTTTTTTTTCCTTTTTCTCCCCAAGGCCCCCAGTACATAGTTGTATATTCTTAGTTGTGGGTCCTTCTAGTTGTGGCATGTGGGACGCCACCTCAGTGTGGCTCAATGAGCAGTGCCATGTCCGCACCCAGGATTCGAACTGATGAAACACTGGGCCACCTGGAGCAGAGCACACAAACTTAACCACTCGGCCACAGGGCCAGGCCCCTCTGCAGGTTTTGAGCTTAGGGGCTCAGCTGAGCTTCTGTGCTACCGAGGGACAAATTCGCCTGCATGCTGCTCCCAGTGTGGGCTTGAGGTCCTGATTTGTCACAGGCCCTCTGTGTCTACCCACAAGCTAAGGTCACACCGGCACTGCCAGTGAACAGGCCTGAGTTAGCCCGTTGTACCATATATGAGAAGGGCAGACTGTTTAGGAGCCTCTAAGTTGGGGGGTGGGGGCAGGCAATAACAGGATCTTCCTCCTAGGATTTGTGTGAAGATGAGATGAAGAGTCCTGGCACAGAGTAAATGCCCAATAAATGTTAGATATTATTAAGGTTATTGTATTGTTATTATGGTTGATAATAAAACTGTTCATGAAGCACAAAAATTGGCACACAGCATAAGCAAAATAAATGTTAGCTCTTGTTAACCGGTTGCCGATTATTTCAAATAACGAGCATCTTGCTATTAGACTCTTTAATTTCTTCTTCAGTGTGTGTATCCACTATGTACAAGGCATCAGGCTAAAGCCAGCACAGAGATCGCGTGCAGCTTTTGTGAGGATGACCTGACAAAGATGAAGATGTACCACACTACCACAGGGCACCTGTGTGTGCACACACGTGTGTAAGGAGCCATCATCAAGTTGATGATGATGACAACTATGAAAACACCTGAGTTACCATTGTTGCTGCTTTCAGACGGAAGAGAGAAGTCTCAAGAACACATACAAATATAAATCATAAATGAGGTGGGGTGTCTCTTCTGAGAAAACGAAGGGGTAGAAGCAGTGGTAAAGGCCCCAAATGGGTCTTGAGGGTAAAGGAAGAAACATGTGAAATGGCCTCAGTCCCAGAATAGAAGGAGAAGGCTCACCCTCCGTATGTTTCATCTGGGAGCTTATGGAAGACGCATTTAATTCAAAGTCACTTAGGAGCCTAGCATTTGTCTGGGTGTTTTTGTGAATGCTTGGCCTGTTTTGGTGGTTTTATTTTTGATTATTGGGTTTTCACCATTCTCTGTTTCGCATTCTGTGAGTGCGTATAGCTAAAACGTATCCTTTCTTCTTAGTCTACCCACCAATGTGTAATCCAAGTGGAAACACCTGCAAGGATTCAAATACATTTTCCAAAATTATTATAGTCAACTCCATTTAAAAATTGTAAGAGGGCCAGCCCAGTGGCACAGTGGTCAAGTTCTCACCTTCCGCTTCGGGGCCCCGGGTTCACTGGTTTGGATCCCAGGCACAGACCTACACATTGCTTATCAAGCCATACCGTGGCAGTTGTCCCACATATAAAGTAGAGGAAGATGGGCATGGATGTTAGCTCAGGGCCAGTCTTCCTCAGCAAAAAGAGGAAGATTGGCAGCAGATGTGAGTTCAGGGCTAATATTCCTGGGGAAAAAAAAATTGGAAGACATGTTCATAAGAAGTGATCAAAAATTTCCGATCTTGCTCAAGATGTGTTTAGGAAGAATAACAATGATCATTCAAGGCAGTGCTGGCCAATGGAAACAATGTGGCCCACTACATAATTTTAAATTTTCTAGTAGCCATATCAGAAAAAGGTAAAAAGAAACAGGTGAAATTAATGTTAATAATATATTTTAATTTAGTCCAATATATCCAAAATATTCTTATTTCAACACACAATTAATATAAAATTATTAATGAGATATGTTATTCTTTTTCTCATACTAAGTCTTCAAAATCTGGCACATCTCAATTTAGACGCTAAATTTTTATCAGAAATGCTTAATCTGTATTTAGATTTTATAAAACGTACAATTGAAAAAGTAGATTCATGTGGCCAAGTTGTTCTAAAATACTTAAAAGCTTCCCAATAAGTCAAGTGTGTATCATTTTAAGATTTAAGCTTAAATTTCATAAAATAAACAGAATTGAAAATCCAGTCTTCAGCTGCACTAGCCGCATTTCAAGTGATCAATGCTTGACAACACAGATCGAAGGTAGAGATACAAGTTTCCAGTCCTCAGTTTTCAGCCGTTAAGTAGCATAATCCACTTCTAGTTTTAGTGCCATATTTCTTGTTCTTTCAGCATCCTGAGTGCCACCCGACCTCCTCCATGTGTAGTAAGGCTAGCCCAGCCTCTGGGAGAAAAAGACGGAAAAGAAAAGGGGTTCACAACCAACTTACTCCAACGAACAAAGCAAATCCATCCCGTGAGCTCCACTGACATTTCCTTGATGATAGCATTCATGTCTGTAAATACTATAGGAGTATCCCAGGAATCCCATTTACACATAATTTGGGGGCGTTCTTGCACCTAGTTTTTCGCATTTCCTATTGGTAGGCACAGAGCCTTGTGGGTGGTAAGTATTCAACAAACGCATGTTGGATGAACAAATACAGGACCATTTGTGTATATTTTCCAGTTAATTATTTTCATAGAGTACCTGAAGATCATTTAAGGAAAATTTCTCTGTCCTATTCTTTGGGCAATGTCTTTGACTGAGAGTCTTTCATCCAGAGGTGCCTGACAACAGCAAAAGGAGGACAGAGGGAGGAGGAGGATGCTGGGAGGAGGTGAGCCACCAGCCATCTCTGCTCAGATGAATGAACAGAATTCTACCTCCCACCCTGCTCCCCCGCCGCAATCTGATGGTCACACAGGACCAGCACAGCTAGGACGTGGGCAAAGGGCTGTTAGCAGGATTCAGGTTTTGAGGGGAAGAAATAGAGCAGAGTACCCAACCCAGCAGAAAAGTTTCAGAGATAGAAGGGCCCATAGAGACCAAAGCACCGCCCCCTGAGAGCTGCCGAGAGCATTCATAAGTAAATACATACGAAAACACGTGGATTGTACAAACTCAGATGATTTCAACAAGGAAGAGATGGGGAAAACTCTGTCTAAGAAAAATGCAAATCACTTAGGAATCGCACAAAGAACTTTCAGATCAAGTCTACTTTACACAACTAGAAGGACCCACAACTAGAATATACAACTATATACTGGGGGGCAGTGGGGAGAAGAAGAAGAAAAAAGAGAAGTCTACTTTAAGCAGGCCATGTGCAAAGATGGAAAAGAAGATGCATGAGTAGTACCCACCTCTAGGAATAATGTCAGCAGAGAAAAAACCCAAATCAAGGTTAGGATTGAGAAAAAAATGCTCAAAAATTATTAAAAGGATATCGTGCTAGTTTCTTAATTGCTGCCGGAACAAATTACCACAAACTTCATGACTTAAAATAACATAAATTTATTATCTTACAGTTTTGGAGGTCAGACGTCCCAAATCAGTTTTCCTGGGCTAAGATCAAGGTGTCGGTGGGCCGGCATTCCTTCTGGAGGCTCTAGTGGATAATCCATTTCCTTGCCTTTTCCAGCTTCTAGAAGCTTCCTGTATTCCTTGGCTTGTGGCCCAACATGGCTCCATCCTCTTCTTCCGTGGTCACATCTCCTTCTCTCTGTCTGATCCTCCCGTCTCCCTCTTAGAAGAACACCTGTGATTACATTGGGCCCACCCAGATCAGCCAAGATAACCTCCCCATCTCAAGATCCGGAACTTCATCACGTCTGCAAGCATCTTTGGGGACTATTATTCGGCTGACCACAAATAAACGGAACTATTTTCAGGGAAAAACAATAAATATTTCTTGCAGGCAATGGTGTAACGCTAAGAGATGACAACGAGGAAGTGAATTTCCTTAATTCCCTTATGGCTTCCAACTTCTCTGACAGGAAGATTGATCCCTCGGCTGATAAATTTGGGACTCACACCTGCCCTGCCCAGCCCGAATAAGCTCATGCCTCACTATTTCCCCTCGGTCCCCATGGCCCGTTGCCCGTTCCTTTGTTATGTCATTCAATCACTCGATAAATATGTGTTGAGCACCCACTATGTGGAAGCAACATTGGAGTCACCCAGGAGAATCAGTGCACAAAACAATTGGAAGTTCCTCCCGTCAGAGAATTACCACCCTTGTTGGGGAAGGCACATGATAAAAAGTAAAGAAGGGAATTGTATGGCATTCTTGAAAGCAGCTAAGTGCTATAAAGAAAAATGAAGCAGGGAAGACCGGTAGAGATGGAGCAGGAGTTAGTGGCAGAGCTAAATCGGGTGTCTAGGAGAGGCTCAGCCGAGAAGATGGCAATTGAGCAAGGTTTGAAAGGTATGTAGGGGGCACACTCTTTCTTAGATGCTCTAAGAAAAGAAATAGCAAATAATGCAAAGGCCCTGCAGAGGAGCAGCATGGGCATTTTGAGCAGATGCAGACTAGCCGGATGCAGGAGAATCAGCAAGGGGGCAGTTGCAGGAGCTGAGGACAGATCTTAACGGGCAGGTCAGCCCTAGAAAGGCCCTGTCACATGGGGTCGCACAGGACTGCGAGCTCCAGAGAGGGCACACTCATTCTCATTGGTGTCCCTGGCAGCTTGCACAGCACGAGCTTGCATCATCAGCACTTGAGAACTGTGACTAAAGGGAGGAAGCTCTGTTAGGTTTCCCACGGGGCAGGCGAGGAAACAAGTCATTGTTTTCTCCTTAGAAGCTCACTTGGAGTTTCACCTTCCCTTCTGCATCTGGGCCAGAGGCCTGGGGCATCTGTCATTAGACTGCGCAGGAACCACCCCTGATGCCACGACATTAGAGCTGCAGTTGCGTTGGCCAGAATCCTGTGGGCTCAGCTCACACTCTCTGTCTACGTGTCCTGCAGCTACTGCCCTGCCCCTCCCTCATATTACTGTCCCTGCCAATGCCATCCCACCTTGGCCAAAGCCCTGGTGAGGCCTTGGTCCTCTCATCACCTGCTGGGGGCACTAGCTCAGCTGAAATCTGGAAAGAATGGAAGGACATGGGGTAGGAGAGGGAGGTGTAAGCAGTCGGGGTTGGGGGGCAGGGAGAGTCGAGAAACAGCCCAGGGAATGGGAGGGGAGGCACATTTGTTGCCGCACAGGGGAGCAACAAAGGGTTAAGTGATTTGCATTACTGTACTTGTGTGCAGGCCTGGAGGGCCGCCGGGCTGCACTTGGGTGGTCCGGTACGGTCTCAGGCAGCGACCTCTTAGTGGTATCGGTGTGATTTATGCAGCTGTCAAGCTGCCTTCACCAGGACAAGTGAACTGCGGGCACCGGCCGGCAGCCGTGCTCCCTCCGAGAGGGTCAGTAAATGGGGCCAAAGAGAAAGAAAAACAGCCCAAGGTGCCACCCCTCATCCTCCGGGTCCACTAATGGCGAGTCCCCTCTATAGAAAAACATCCAGCTGCCCACAGGAGACCGACTCACAGAGGCCCACTGTCTCGGGCCGCCAGGCTTGGCAGGGAGCCACCCACCACTGATGGAGCGGGAGAGGCCAGGCTGACAGACAGACCGACCTGAGCCCAGCCAGCTAGCCTGGCGTGGACCCGGGGACCTGCTGTCTCAGGTCCGAGGGTGATGTGACAAGGCCAGGGTGTGGACTGTCGTCCTGCAGCCAGGGAAGCATTGTCACACCAAGATGCCACCCACAAGGTCCTCCGTCCCTCGGGAGAAGGCCAGGGCTCTTGACCCTTCGGCACAGGCCAGGGTAGGTAGCACAGCAGGCAGCACGGGGAGAGCCAGAACACAGAAGCCATCTCAGCAGCGAGGGAGAGCCTGCCTGAGCATCCGAGGCTCGGGGGACCACCCCGCCCTGGACTGGGACCCTCTCAGGGTGGGTCTGTTCATAAGCACCAGGCCTCCCCACCCCCCCACACACCTCCACACACACACACACACCTCTACACTCATACCCTCCTACATACACACACACACCCCTGCATACACATAGATACCCCTACATATACACACAACACCTCTCTATACACACACACCCACACACACTCCCCTACACACACCCCTACATACACACCTGTTATCCACAGAGGAGAGGGCTCTCTCTCTTATTCAGTGTTTGATTGACAGTGAAGTAGCCAGGGACATGGGACATGCACAAAGCTTTAGAGGCCTGTAGAGTGCGTGTGTGTGTGTGAGAGAGAGAGCGTGTGTGAGAGAGAGAGAGAGCATGCACGCACAATGGCAGGACTGCACTTCTTAATAATGTCAGGAACTTTTCTTTAATGGGCCTCTTTCGCTCCACTGCCAACTGGCATGTGGTGCATTGTGCGTGTGGGACGGCAGTGGAAGGCAGGTGTTTCATCTTGGACTTGATTCCCAGCCAGAACGTTTCCGAGACCCGGGTGGCGGGCAGAGCCGAATTCCTGACTGAGCAGAGCAGAGCGAGAAGGGGAACTGGCTGCGTGCTCTCAGCCGTCGGCAACGGGCGAACCGCTCTCTTCCACCCCTCCCTCCTTCAGTCCTCTGCCTGCCCCTCACTCCGTGGGACCCGTCACTCCACAATGGGGTGCCCAAAGAGGAAATCTCTCAGCTGGACTCAGACAGACACAGGTGGCCCCAGCAGCTGCACGTCCCCTGGGTCTCTCAACTTGGCAAAGCTCTGTAGACTTGGCATTTAACAGTCTTGTCAGCACAGGCGGGAAAGGACAATGGCGTTTTTAATAGGCTTCCTGTTTGTTCAGATAGGAAGCTGCTAATGCCTCCTTGGAAATGGTGTCTGGAGGTAAACGTGCCAACTGGCCCTCCCGGCACCTGACCCGCCTCCTCTTCGCCCATTCAGCCGGAAGTTTAAAAGGTTGACAGTTGAGTTCAGGGTATGGCAGCACTTGTATTTCCCATTGCCAGGGGCTCTTAAGGACCCTGTGCCCTTCTGTTTTGCAGGACACCATTCTTCTGCTCTCGTCCTGGGTATAAAGAGAACAGCTGCCCTGGACGCCGGACTGTAGCGGGCTTGGCCGGCAGTGCTGGTGTAATTCCCGTCTTGGCCCTCTCCCTCACGCCCCCACATCCGGTCATCACAGACAGCTCATGGTTTCTTGAGCTGGCTTCTCATGTCAAATCTAAAATGTGGAACTTTTGTGCTGTCCCCAAAAGACCTGAGATGGCCTCCCTCGTGGGAATCCCTCACACCACACTACACCTTGTAGGGTTCACACAACACAAGGAGCCTTTTTAGGATTTGTTTCCTGGACAGCTCTCTAGAGGCCCTGGACAGAGAAAGTCACGAAGATGTGGAAAGGATCCTTTCCCTTTTCGGCTGCTCTTGAGAAAGCAGGCGGGTGGTGACGAGGCAGAAACTGTTCTCATGTGCCAGGTGCTTTTCTGACAGGCTCTGTGGGGAGGCCGTGCCTGGAAATAACAGGCAATGGAGCCCAGGGTGATATTTTCTGCTAACACTTCACATGTAGGGTCTTCTCTAACAAACTTACTGAGGGTTGCTTTCTTTTCCATGAAGTTGAGAGAAGGTTAAATTTCACACAAGAGTCATACACTTTCTTCTGTGGGAGCTGTGAATACGTTTGTCCCCTTTACTGTTCCTACGTGGCTTCAGCCCCACCGTGTCCCATCCAGGTCATTGCAATGACTTCCTAAGAATCCACCCTTCGTGCTTTCACCATAATCACCTTCCTAAAATACAAGCCAGATCCCATGTCTTCCTTCTCAAAATCTTCACTCGTACTCCCTCAGCCTAAATCCCAAACTTGAGAGCGGCATTAAAGGTCCTCCGACAAGATGACTCTATCCAGTCTCTTGTCCTATATCCTGCCTGCAGAAGATACAGACGATATGTGTTAATCCGAGTCTTCCAGAAGCTGACACCGTAATGGGATTAAAAGTGCACAGATTTGATTAGGGCTAACACCTGTGTAAGAGGAAATGGGGAGACAGCTGGAGAAGGTTGGAAAAACTGTCACAGTGGGATGAAGGTTTGACGCCAAGTGAAGGAAAGAAGCAGGGAATGTCAGGTGAAAACCCCCTGGACTGCTGTAGAGTCTAAGGAAGTTGCAGCAAGGCCACCGGGGAGTGATGTCAACCCATATCAAGGGAAAATCAGCCAATACAAGGAGTTCCTTGGCTCCTAGGAATGAGCCAATCTTAGAATTCCTGCATCAGCCAGCCACTGGCTGAGAGCAGACAATGGGAAATGCGCATGGTCTTGGTGTGGATTGGCTTATGGATTTCAGAGAGCAGCAGCTTGGGCCTTCGGTCAACTACACTCCCCAGAGTTGGAGGTCTACAAGGAGCATTCCCATAGCCTCCATAAGACACAAGTCAGCCAAAGAGGTAACCCACAGTTTCCAGAGCATGTCACTCGATTCCATGTATCCATGCATTTGCTCATGCCTTCCTCTTTGCCTGCTATGCTTTTTCTCCCATTCCACCACCAAATGAAATTCCACTCATCCTTCAAGCCTCCATTCAAGTGCCACCTGCTCCATGAAACCTGTTCATTACACTGATGATACTTTGCCTGCCCCTCTATTATAGCATTCCTTCAGATTAGAACTAGTTGTTTGCAAGTCTCTCTCCTCTCTGGTCTCGAAGGCAAGGACTGTTTAATTTCTCTTCATATAAAGGAGTCTAGCACTACAGCTCACATGCATTATTTCATTTATTTATTCAACAAAATGTATTAATTGTGCCAGGCACTATGCTAGGCCCTGCTGGTCTGGCAATGTAGAAGACAGGGAAGGAGCTTACTTTCCAGTCTTGGTGAGGGAACTAGTGGGATGACAATGGTTAGAGTCAGAGCAGTAAGCAAAAGTTGATACTGTACCTCCCACAGAAGATGGGGGAAGAGAGAAAAGAGGGCTGGACCAAGGATAACCAGGTATTAGGTTTCTAAAAACATACAGCAACAGTGTATAAGGTCTTGGGATGCTAAAGGTGGAAAGTTGAATCTGAGACCCTTACAAAAGCCAGAGCTCTCAAAGGGCTGCAATCCCAGTGAAAGAATTAGTAAACCTCAGTGACCCCATCAGCCCAGCAAAATCACCAGGAAACCTCTATCTACAATGTTTTTCAATGGGCAACACATCTGTGCCTGTGTCTTGCACTACTTTAAAATTTTTATTTTAACTATGCACAGTTTATGAAACCCCAAGCCAAAGTCAAGAAGATAATTTTAAAAACATAAAGCAAAAGTTCTTCTGAAACTAGTTCTCCATTAAGAATTACAAAGTGCTTGAGCAAGTAATCTACCATGAGTGAAAGTCAGTAGATACAATAGATGTTTAATTCATCAGAGCCTCAGATAATAGAAAAACAATGTAATAGAAAATAAAAAGCATGTTTAAAATATAAAAGGGATTTTGAAACAGTCTTAGAAAAATAAGGAAAGAATTATACTCCATGAAAAATGAACAGACAGATTTAAAAAAGAACCAAATGGAACTTCCACAAATGGAAAATATTTTCATTAAAATTAAAGAGTGAACAGGCAGCTCAAACAGCAGATTACCCAAGACAGACTTGGAAAAGTCATCAACTATGGCATAGTGAAATAATGAGATAGAAAATACGAAACAGAGGTTAAGAAATATGGATGATATAATGAGATGGCTGAATGTATGTCTAGTTGGAGTAGAGGCAATATTCAAAGAAATAATGTTTGAGAATTTTCTCAAATAGATGAAAGACATGAATCTTCAGATTTAATAAGTATGAATCTCAAGCAGAATAAATAAAAATAAACCCAACCCTAGAATACCAAATGGAGACCGCAGAACACCAATGTCGCAGAAGAATTCTTCAAAACAACCAGAGAGAAAAGAAAGATCACCTGCATGAAACAGAAATTAACCAGTGTAACTCAATAGTTCTAGTAAAGGTCAGAAGACAGGAGAATAGTGTAAAAATCCTGAAGGACAAAAATGTTCAATCCAAAATTCTATACTCAGATAAAATTCTATGCTTTATTCTATAATCAAGAACACATAAATTAAGGATATTTCAGGCATATAAATGCTGATGTAATTTATAATTAACAGGTTCTCAGTGGAAAATATTCAAAAGGAGAAGAAAGATTAAACCAAAGGCAGGAGGCAAATAAAAAAGATGAAAGTCAGCTAATAAGTTTTAAAATTTAGGTAAATCTAAATAAACATTGACTATAAAATTAATAGTAATAATAAAAACTAATTTAGGATAGTTTAAACACAAATGAATTTAAAGTACTTGACAAAAACAACATGTGAACCATGGAAGGATGTCAGGGTAAAGGTCTTCACTGTATTGTTCAAAAGGAGGACAGCCACAATAGGTCAAGATCTGGCCAGATCATGTTAGGTCAAACATGCATAGTAAATATCTAAGGGCACTAAATGCAATGGGATACCCTGAATCCAATCTTGGAACAGAAAAAGGACATCTGTGGAAAAACTGGTAAAATCCAGAGTTTAGTTAATAATTGTGCATGCCTGTTGTTTTGTTTTTCTAACTTTAACAAGTGTGCCATGCTATATAAGATGTTAACGTTGGGAAAAGCTGGGTGAGAGGTATAAAGAACTCTGTATTCCAAATTTGTAACTTTTCTGTACACCTAAAATTATCCCAGAATAAAAATCTTATTAAAACATACAAACTTTTAAAATCTAAAGGTAACCGCTAAAGACTAGAATGGGAAGGTATAACCTCCAAATCAGTAGACAGTAGAGAGAAATAGAAGGAAAACTTGATGATCAAAATACAAGGCAGGAAAGCAGAAAAATAAATAACAAAATAAAATAGTGATAAATAGAAAGTAAAAAATAAGTTAGTAGAAATAATTTTAAAGATGAGATTAGGGACTTGAAAAAGATAAAAGCAGCAATTAATGAATCACAAAACAGAAAAAAGATAAGCGAATTAATAAAATGCAGATCTAGTTCTTTAATACAAAAAGAAAGACAGAAAAACAATAAATCATTAAGTAAAATAATTTCCTTAAAAAAGGAGAAAACAGGAGAGTGACGTCAGCATCATGGCAGAGTGAGTTGTTCCCTTTGTCTCTCCCCTCTAAGTCACAACTAAACTGACATTCATTAACCAAAAGAGGACACCCAACACAGCACAGTAGGATCCCTGAGAGATCCACACAGCCAAACATCTGAAGGTTGGTGGACTGAATCCCCAGGAAGCAGTGGAACTAGGTGAGCAGACCCCTCCCCTTCCCCAGTGCCAGGGATCCAGGTGGTGGGTCCTCACACAGCCATCGGTATGACTGTAACAGGAGGTGGGGGCAGCCTGGCCTGTGCACAAACACTTTCACAATTGTAGCCTGGCCTGTGGGAGTGCCCACCAAGCTGTGGTGGCCTCATCTGTGGTAATGCTCCCCAACAGGTGGTGATGGCTCAGCCCCAGGCCCCAAGAAAGAGACCCACCTACCAAGTGCAAGAGCTCAGCTGAACCACTGGCAAGTGCACAGCTGCTCATGCTCAAAAGAAAGTGCCCCT